AAAAACATTCCTAAACTTCTCTCTCAATAATAGAAACTTGCAAGTTTCTGCCCGAATGCAAATTTGCAGAAAGCTGCCAATTTCACTGACTCTGACACTGTAGTAAACGAGTATTTACGTACACTTTTCATTAGAAAATCGCCCAAGTTTATAAATTTAAAGATCTTGTTTATTGAAATCATCGGCGAAAAAAATGCAACCAAGAATTTAAAATTTTTCTTCAAGAGAACTGTTAGTTTTTGAGTGATGGATAATTTTTTGGTCGGCCTTAATTAATTCATATCGTTGCTATGGCACAAAAAAGAAAATATTCAGAAAAATGTCTGTTTAAATATTTTTGATTTTGGCACAAGGAAAGATAAGGGCCCGTCGAGCTAGAAAAAAAAAAGATAAAGTGGACGTGGCTCGGCCCTTTTTAACCAACTTCCAAAAAAGGAGGAGGTTATCAGTTCGTCGAAATATTTTTTTTTCCTTTTTTTATGTATGTTACCGCATATTTTTGGACCACGTCAACCGATTCTTTTTGCATCGGAAAGGTAGTGTCTCAGAGGTGGTCCCATACTAATCTGGTTTAGATCCGATCATTGGATCATGAAATACATATATATGTATATATATATTTTTTAATCGTTTTTTTTTTTGCTAAAAATTACTTGTTTCTGATTGTGATGGTATACATTTTTTTGCTGTAAATTAAAGTTGGCGGTGCAAGTGGGTGGTAAATGTGAAAGTGTATATATTTTTAAAAGATTATTTTTCTAAAATCATTGGACTGCCCCTAATTTGCACCAAACATTTTTTATACCATTACAATCAATGGAAGAAGGAGGAGCAAGCCCACTTTTTCTTTTTTTAGCTGAGCGGGCCTTATTCTTTACTTATTTTCAAACAATTTTAGTTGTCAAACGAACTCGTTTACACAGTTTTAGCAATTGTTTTCCCAAATTACACAAGTGCTGGAAATGTCCACTGGAATATTAGATTAGGTACTAAAATTTAGGTCAACTCGCCTTAACAAAGAAATCGTTTAGAAAAAAAAACTATTAAACATCTGGCAGCCCGAGATGCACCCAAGTCTGGCAGCGCCCATCGCATTGCACACAGCACAACCGAATATCGATTTCGAAGATTCGAATTCAACAAGAGCGACACAAGCATCAACTGTCAAGCGCACCGAGAGAGAGCGCCCAATCAGGAAAAGAACAAATGTGCAAACAAGCGCCGCGCCGCAACGCGTGAGAGAGCACCCAACACAAGGAGCAGTCGCATTCGCAGTAGCAGAGTTGAAAAAGTTTGCGGGCGGGTTACACATTAAAAAGTCGAGTGCTCGAAGAAATTTGTGAATTACTCCAGCAAAACGAATTGTATTAATTGGAATTTATCAATAAAAATTGGTAAAAAGTGCAAGTGCATAGTGGTAATTGAAGAAAACGTTGCTAGTGCTGTGATAATGTATGTGGAAGTGCTTGGAAAAAAGACTACAAAAAACCAAAGACCAGCGAAGCACCAGCCGCAAAATCGTGCACCAACTACACACAAATACACACACAAACAACCATGTACACACAAGTCGCACATTATGGGCTAGGTGGAAACGCCAGATGTGTATTCAGTGAAAATCGCATACGCGTTTTTCCATTGGAAAAAAAATCATCGCATTTTTTCTCCTACTTATGTTAAACAAATTGAAAAGTAGATGCAAAGTGATTAATTTAATTGTTAAGATAGAACAAAATCGATGCAGTGGCGTCGTCTCAAAAGAAACGCAAACGTATGGAAAGAGTTTTTTTTAGAGGCGGTGCCGGGTGGCGGTAGTTAGTACCTACAGAACGACTGGTAGCGGTGCGGCTA